AGAGAACCCGAGGGCAGGGACAAGAGAAAAAATGGAGAGACTAGAGAGACGACGATGGCGAAGTGAAGGCAATAAAAATCATTTCCGACTTGCTTATTATAGAGTGAAGACGGATACACACAGAAGAGTAGAAGAACAAAAAACCACGTGTCATAGTCGAGAAACACGATTGAGTTTTTAGTACTTACAAGTGATAGTAAAACGTGCGATCTTGAGTCTCAGGAGGGGTTAATTAAAAAATTATAACGATGTCTCCACGAGCCCGGCGACCCAAAGAACGCATTTCGAGTGAAGATAGAGTGAAGAGTGAAGTGAAGATCCTGCAAAATCTGACAAATAAATAACTAGTAATATAATTTTACATTTATTTACCGTACATGTATATTCAACGACATCAACTTCGGTTTTTCATATCACGTAGAATTTTATTATCATCATTCATACATAAGTTTTTTAATAAAATTTCCGTTAATGTAATAAACTTTGTGAAAATTGAGGAAAAATTAAGATAGTTAAGACAACTCGATCATATAAATTCCACGTATTTTAATAGCAATATTGATTGTAGTCCGTGGATTTTTTTTATTTTTGTAAAAAATGTAATAATTTTGTACGCAATCAAATTGAAAAAGTGAAAAAAATACAGAAAGAATGAAGATGAAAATGTTAAAGTTTAATTTTTATTTGTTTAATAGAAAACTAATCGTTAAATTATGTGTTTTTATTATTTTTAATTAACGAGCAAGATTATTAGAACGAAATCCCATTATAATTAATATTTATTTATGTTATCTATAATGTACGAATATATCTTGATATTTTATATTTCTATTTCGAATCTTTAAAAGTCTTTTGTACACGACACATAAGTAAAAATTGTACACATGTAACACGATGTGATATATTAGTAAAAATGATATATTTCTCACTTAAAAGAATAATTTCTAAAATTGCTGTTTTCGAAGCGCTTTAATTAACCATTCCATAATCTGCCGCAGCGCGTCTTACGAAGTTTCGGAATCTATCAAGAGCATTAAAACAAAAAAGAAAATGTTTCTACCTTTCGTCATCGAACGTTATGAGTGTTATGATGTAGAAGCTTCCCTGATAAGACCGTTCGATGGGAGAAGGGGGAAGTTTCTTTTTTTTCCCGTGCGCTCATACCTGTGCAGATGTATTCTTGCGATCAAGAAAGGTAGGATTACCTCCCCTCTTCTTCCTTTCATCGCTTCTTTCTTCTGCGCTTTCATTTTGCTGCAGAAGCAGGTAGGAGCTCCCCATGGGTTCCAAGCGTCTTCTTGCTTCAACATTATGCGCACGGCAATCCCAAGGCCGAGAACGACAGGTCCGCCCCAAGGTACCAGCATCCAATCGTTTCGTGTGCGGCGTATCAGACATTTCTACGCAGTCGCGGGTCGCCAGCGAAGAAGCAAGATGTACAGGGTGTCCCACCTCTATCGCATTTCTTTTTAAGAACGTGTTCCTGAGATAATTTTGAGTCGAAAATCCTAATACAAAAATGTCGAGGCTATAATATACTTTTCAAATTATAAACGATTTCAGTTAACCAATATTAGCGGCTGAAATTCGCGCACTCAGGCACGGCAGATCCAATGACCCCTTTTTTAAATATCAATACACAAAACTAACTTTGTGATTAACTAACCTAATGACTAACTGACTTGATAAATAATACTTAAACTTTATAGAAAAGTATACTATAATATATGGCCCTAAATAATTCAAAAATTCAATAAAATTAATAATAATCTATATTAATACATAGTTATACGCGCGAGACAGGATGAAAAATTGACTTATTTATATTATGTTTTCTACCGCGGCGTTAGAACTGTTGTAATTTTATTTTATAATTTAAATTAAAATTCTTTATTTATTCAAGCTTCGATAACGGCGTAGGCTCGTATAAGCAAAATATCGTAAATTTTTGAATTATTTGAGACCGTATTATATGTATATAGTTTTCTATAAAGTTTAAGTATTATTTATTAAGTCAGTTATCAAGTTAGTTAGTCACGAAATTAGTTGTATTGATATTTATAAATGAGACTATCGGATGCCGTGCCTGAGCGCGTGAATTTCAGCCGTTAAATTTGATTAACTGAAATCGTTTATAATTTGAAAAGTATATTATAGTCTCGACATTTTTGTAATAGGATTTTCGACTCAAAATTATCTCAGAAACACGTTCTTAAAAGAAAATGCGGTAGAGGTGGGACACGCTATATACTATTATGTGGGCGGTATTTGCAATTGTTTCCTGACGAGTAAGAACATACATAAGCACTTATGCGTATACATTTTTGTGCACATCGATTATTTGTCTTTGCCTCTTTGCCTTTTTATCTTTATTTCGATCTATTTATTTTTATTAGATTTTAAACTCTTTTTAAAATCGTTTCGTTTGCTTTCATTTCAGATTAAAACGAAATTGTTAACAAGGACGTACAACGTACGCTTTAACATTGTACACTTCCAAAAATTTATTTGCGACCTAAATAAGCATGTATGTAGGTATAGTGTAATATATACATATATGATATATGTATATATATATATATACTATATATATATATATATATATATATATACACACATGTATAGCTTAAACTTGATCTTTCACAGTGATGCAATGATAGCATGCATGTTGAAAACCGTTGTAAGTAGAATTATTTAATTATAAAAATGTAAAGTAATTATCTTGTGTGACTTATACATACACCTTTCGTAATAGAAAAAAGAAACGCCTGTCGTTCGATCGTTTATGAAATTAATACGTGATAAAGAAAAGCATAAAATGAGATTTTGTTTTAAATTATATTAACTCCAATTAGAGTAAAATAATCTGATGCGAATAATAAATAAATAAATTGAATTAAATAGCGATTTTGGCTGGTTTGCAACAGTATGCCACCAATGTATAACGTATAGTTCCATGGCATATTGCGATGGAATATGGATATCCAGTACAACATCGCTATTTAACTCTTTAAGTCCAATCTATTTATTTATTATTGATCGCATCGGATTATCTTGCTTTAATTGGAGTTAATATAATTAATTTAAAACAAAATCACATTTCATGTTTTTCTTTATCACATGTTAAATTCGTAAACGATCGAATAGACGTTTCTTTTTTATTTTTCTGCCACGAAAGGTGTATGTATTATATCCTACTCTCTAAATTTTCTGGAGTTAATTTTTAACTCTTTTGGAGTGAGATTCACTCCAGAAAATTTAGAGAGTAAGTCACACAAGTTAAGTTACTTTATATTTTTATAACTGTGTAAACCAAAATCGCTATTTAACTCAATTTATTTATTTATTATTCGCATCGAATTATCTTGCTCTAATTGAGTTAATATAATTAATTTAAAACAAAATCTCATTTCATGCTTTCCTTTATCACATGTTAAATTTATGAACGATTGAATAGACGTTTGTTCTTTACTTTTCTGCCATGAAAGGTATATGTATGTATATATATATATATATATATATGTATATACACCCAGTATATATATTATATATATATATATCCTAAGTCACACAAGATAGTTACTTTATATTTTTATAATTAAATAATTCTACTTACAGCAGTCTTTAACATGTGTTATCATTATTGCATCACATATAATTATATATAATAATATGCAAAATACGTCCATATATGTTTCTTTCCTTTGTAAAATTATTCTTTAATACAAAATTGCAGATAATAAGGAAACATAAAAAATAATTAAAAGAATAATTTTTACATTGTTTTTTTTACAAAAAATAAAGTTTGAAGAAATGAGGAAAATTGCTCATATATCACATAACCATATATAAGTGATTAAAAATATACATATATAAATATATACGAACAATTTTTCTCATTTCTTCAAACTGGATTTTTTGTAAAAAAAAACAATGTAAAAATTATTCTTTTTATTATTTTTTTGTTTCCTTATTATTATCAATTTTGTATTAAAGAATAATTTGACAAAGAAAAAAAACATATATGGATATATTTTGCATATGTGGAACTTTTTTTCCCGGGTATACATATATCATTTAATATCAATTTATGATGAGATATCTCTTTCTGAGTATTTTTCCGATTATCCGACAAATGTTATCTAATATTTCTTTGCGAATTACGCAACCATTTATAATTTATATTAAAATGATTAAAATGAATATCCAGTGGATATTTCGAATACCATCGCGGCGCGCGGCAAGATATTACCGACAGCACATCGATAGTGCAGATTCTTAAATAACCGCGTACGAACATTTGTTAACCACTTGATGGTTAAACAGGAATGGACGCATATTGCAATGGGACAATGGATGGTTACAGATATCTCGTTCAATCAATCGACATAACCTGTCTTTTTGTCCGTCCTTTAAAATTACAATTTGTTTTAAATAAATCTAATGTTAATAATTAACCCTGGATTCTAATATCCGCGTGACCTTTGATTCTGATTAAAATTGTGCCTAACGGTTTAGTGTGATTTTGCTGGAGCATGGCGGACAAAATGATTTATCACATACAATAAGCGCGGGCGAATACACAGACCAGTCTTTTCCAAAATAATTCCGAAAATTACTCGCTCGCAAAAGAAAGATAAAATCCTAATATTTGACATCAGAAATATACGGTGATTTAAATTGCGATTCGAAATTTATTTTTGCAACACCGATTTTCAGAGTATCGCGATAATCGATGATAATCATGTGATGCTGATTCGATATAAAAATAAAATTCGAAATTATTTTAGCTGCTTCAGGAATAGCACGAGGTAGGGAATGCGGCCAGGGCACGGATTCGTTAAACACGAAATTTTCTCGATGTCGCGATATCGAGCAGGCTTTTCTCGCATGCAGTTTAAACCTTTTGAAACAAGAATCAACGATGCAGCCGAGATATGATTAGGATATTTTTTTCTTCACTTATGCTTATGTTTATTTATTAATTTTTTAGACGGAAGTCATCAAACTTGAAAATTTTAATTAATAAAAATATTCACAATGCATCGCTTCTTACGCCCATACGTACTAATTCATATATTCGCTGTCATTCGACAATACACATTCTCTCATTCGGTTACGTATTCTCTCTCGCGCGCTCACTTTCTCTCTCTCTCTCTCTCTCTCGCTTACTCCTTTTCTCTCTTACGCACATTCGCTACCAAACGCATTCGTCTCTGTTCTCATTCGCATGGCCGTAACATTGTGATTGCGTTCAGAAAATACAACACTTGAATAACGTTCTGAAAAACATACCGGTACAGATCTCGAAGTATATTCGAAGTATTGCATATTATAATATTATACCAATGCATATTATAATATTATAACAATGCATATTATAATAGTATATTATACTCAGAAGTATACCTTGTTCCACATGTTATTCGAAAGTTGCACCATCGTTGTGTTTTCTGTGAACAGCTTATTCATGCTTATCCGCAGATATCGGCCAATATTTTTTTTATCGCTATTAAATTCGTACCGAATCGCTTTTCGGTACTTACATGTCCATGTATATATTAAGTGTAAGTTGAGAGATGCGTGTGTTGTGTGTATCGCGTGTATGTGTATCATGTGTGTATATGCTGTTGCATGAGTTGGATGTGTGCGTGTGTGTGTGTGGGTTGCGTGTGGCTGTGTAGTATAATGTATATGTACATTCAATTATTAATAATAATTATTATTAATAACAACAATAATACGAATAAAAAAATCCGTTGAATGACTTAGTTCGCGGACATTTAATTCTTCAGTAGTAATAGTGAAGTCGTTACAGTTCAGTATGCGATGTTCTCCGATTGTTCAACAAGCATATTCGGTCAAGCGAGGCCTTTTTCTCTTACCACTCGGATCTGCTCGGTTTTTTCATGAGAAAAAAAAAAAGGAAATCCCGTCATGGAGGAGCTTTCCGGGGTCTTCCAGATCGAAAGTTAGCGACTGTTACACAATCCATCGGAGCTGCCGATGATAATACACGAAACTGTGACCTTCACTTGCTTAAAAATTGCGTTACAGCGTCATGCTTCGCGATTAGCAAACCGACATACAATGTCCGATTGTGTTTGTCCCGAATGTGCGAATTCAATCCAAGATGACGACCATATCGTCTTGGCGACCTGCTCTTTGGAGGTGAAGCGGATTCAGGGGGAGCGACATTCTGCGCCACGGTTTGCGCGCCGCTCTTCGCAATTCCATCGAGGCCAGGTTTCTTCTGGCTCTTCTGCAATTCGACAAGTCGGAAGAATTAGCATTAAATCAAATGCATACGTCACCATATAATTGCTATTACTAAACCATTACGAAGACGGAAAAAATTCTTATATTTAGAAATATTAAAAGATTTTAAAAATTTAGAAATATTAAGATTTTTTGAGGTATAAAAATCAAATTGGAGAAATAAAAATAAGTAAATCGCAAGTGATGTATATCCGTTTCTCTTTCATATAATCTTACTTCTTCGAAGTCTTTTATTACGTAATTGATAAATTTGAAGACTAAAGATTATATTCACATTTATACTCGTTTACGTTGATTATTCTTAAGAGATTGGTTCACGCTTATTACCATATAATTGCTATTACTAAAACATTACGAAGACGGAAAAAATTCTTATATTTAGAAATATTAAAAGATTTTAAAAATTTAGAAATATTAAGACTTTTTGAGGTATAAAAATCAAATTGGAGAAATAAAAATAAGTAAATCGCAAGTGATGTATATATCCGTTTCTCTTTCATATAATCTTACTTCTTCGAAGACTTTTACGTAATTGATAAATTTGAAGACTAAAGATTATATACACATTTATACTCGTTTACGTTGATTATTCGTAGAAATTGGTTCACGTTTATTTTCGATAGTCTGACTTTTATACTAACTTGATCTGTTCGGTTGCGCGGAAGTAGACATCATCCGGTGCGTCCATCCACGACATAACTTGCTTACGCGCGTTACTTCTGGACAGCGGCGGACCGTGAGGCAGAGAATGTGGATGAGAGGCCCTGCCGTTAAGAGGCGGCGCGAGAGGAAGAACTGCGGGCGGGGGATGCTCCAGCGTGTGCTTCGGGTGTAGTTGCTGCGAGTGATGCCTTTTCGTTGGCGGTCCGGCAGAAGGAAGTCCTGCGTTCAGGGCAATACCTAAAAACGGAAAAACGAAAGCTCGCGATAATTTTATTATACAAAGAATTCCTGAATATTATATTTTGATATAATTGCGTGTTCGCAAGACATTTCACAAGCAAGTTACCAAATACAGGGGTGAGTATTCAAATTTTGTAAAAGAATTCCCTGAAAATTCTCGGATTTTCCGGGAATTTTATTCAAAATTCCAGGTGAGATTAGAGAACTTCTCAATGCAGCTTTAAAATAAATTAGACACTAAAAGTTCTAACAACGTATAGAACTTGATGCGTGAAACAATTTAATCTTCTATATACAATAGTTACATCTCCATATAAAATTTTTTAAATGTAACGAAAGATTTTGTATGAAGATGTAACTACATATGTGAAAATTAAATTGTTTCACGCACTCAAGTTCTGCGTTATTAGACTCTTAATAATTTATTATTTACGGATTATCGTTATTATTTTAGATTGAAGAGTCTTCATATATAGTATATGTCAATTTTAAAATAAATCAACTTTCAATATTAGGAGCTTTCGATATGGGGCCAAGTTTACTTTCTAAAGGGATAAAATTAAATTTCAAAAATTTCCATGAGAATCCATGATTTTCAAAGGCAAAAATGAAATTTCCTGAGAATTCCAGGTTTTCCCGGTTTTTTCCGGTACCACCCTAAATTATTAATTTTATTAGCACATCAATCGTCTATAAAATAGCGCGAATCGCACAGATAATTCTTGAATGTTATATTTTGATATAATCATGTTTGCAAGACATTTCACGAGCAAGTATTGATTAACAATTATTAATTTTATTGGCACATCAATCGTCAATAAAATAGCGCGAATCGCGCAGATAATAAAATTTACCGTCTGAACCATTGATTTCGTCGAACGGTCTTGGGCGTTTCAAGATATTTTGTTGAGTCGACATAACAGGCTGCGGCTGGGGTGGTGTCAATGTGAGCCTGTCCACCTCAGGTTTGTTTGGTACTCTCTCGTACAAAAGACTGCCATCTGCAACATTAATAATACTTTATGTTATTAGATCATATACATCTATAATAATGTACCTCACACATACGCGTGTGTGTACACATATAGGGAATGAAATCATCAAGAATGTTGAATAATGAGTAATATTTCCCATGCAACAAATATAATTGCCGCTCAATATACTTATCTTAACAATCTTACGGCTATCTCTCATTTATTATTTGTCAACTTGTTCAGACCGTCTTATTTACTTTACCCAATTTTTATTAAATTGCCTAACTTTTTATGTCACTCATGTAAAATTAATTGCACGTTACGTACCCGGTGCCTTTGGTGGACGTGGAAATGAGACTCGGTCGGGTTGCTTGCGCTGCGCCGGGGCAGTTAGTGTCAGCCAGTCCCAGTCGCCGGGCTGCCGGGGTGACGGATGATCGCCTAGGCGCGAGGCGATGTCGATCACTTGGGGACGCGGCCGAGGCCGTACGGCGCGTGCAAGGATACGCAGTTCCGTTGGAGTTTTGGATGCCAGCTGGGCGCATAGGTGCCGCAACGGCGCGGCATTCACCGGCTGATGGGGCGCCCGCGCGGCGTGGCGTGTGCGCAACTGCGCGGCGCACAGACGTCGCGCGGCGCGCGCCAGCAAGGAGGTGCGCAGGTAAAACGCGGACCGGGTCTTCATGACCGGCCGTGGTGATCCGCCGCCGCCGCCGCCGCTTCCGGCGGCGCCGCGCAGATCCACTCCGTGCGCGCTCGCGTAGTGACGGCTCAGGTGAGCCTTCAGTTTGAACTCCTTGCCGCAGGTGGGAATGCTGCATCGATGCGGCCTGTGCGCGCCGCCCATCCCCTTGCTCTCCTCATCCGAACCGGCGCCGGCGCGTTTCCTCTCGAGATCGACGTCGTCTATGCGCGACGGCACCTGTTTTGCGGCAAAGAGAAAACGGCACGCATGAGATGCAGTACACACAGGGGGGGCTGTCACCGTTAACCACGGTCACACAATCTCGCGTTATCGTTGAGCACCGGTGTGCCCTTGACGCATACCTTGAGCCCTCCGTACTTCTTCCAATACGTCCAACAGGGTTGACAGAGACGGTACTGCATGTGAGAGGGTCCCCAAGCGTACCACTGTGGACTCTGGACGACCTGACAACTCTCGCACGGCTTCCCACCGACTCCGACCATAAGTATTCCGGAATTGTCGCCCACCATGCTGCCGTTACTGTTACCGTTCAAAACGCTGGTCGGCTTTCCGTTACTGTTGCTATTACTGTTGCCCAGAGGTACAATCGTGGCGGTGGAAGGAGCGGTTGTCGACGCGGGAGTCTTATTGTAATTTGGTATATAAACTTGCTTCAGCTTACTCTCCGCCTCCACAGCCTTCACTCTCTTCTGCTGGACATACCGATCCGTCGTTTTCCACATGTAATAATACTCGATTACGTTCTTCAATGTTTTCCACGGTAACTGTAAGACATAAGAAACATTGATAAAAACACGTAGCCGTGTTTTTTTTTTTAATTTATCCGCGCGTGTTAATGCGTATGCTTACAAAGTCCGCTCGTATATCCGCGAAGTCCTTCCCGTATTTCTCGAGCGCCTCTTCGAACAGGTTCGCCTCGGACGCGCTCCATTCTTCCATCTCGTCTCGGCACAATACAGGACCGGTACTAGGTACTAGAGACGCTAAGGCATTCGATAAGTCATAGGCATGCAGGTGTAATGTGTCCATCGCGTGGAACTGCAATGCAATTGACAAGATTTAAATGTGAAATGTGTGACCAATACTCTCTCTCTCTTCTCTCTTTCTCTCTCTCTCTCTCTCTGAGAACATCAATTTATCCAATTAAATTTTTATCTGTCTGCAGTGCGCCAAACGGATCGTCTCTTACCAGGGTAATGTCTCTAGATGCAGCAGCTGCGGACATATGCAGGGAGGGCTGCTTAATGGAGGACGAACAGTCTAAGGCTCTCGCAAAGGTGCCTACTGATCTGCTTACGACGAGGAATTGATCGATCTGACGATCTGTCATATTGTGCCTCGGAGTCCATATTAAAGTCTCCAAGTCCTGTAGCTTGCGAGTATCCGCATCTCTCTCGGCGTGTGTCAATACCGCCGGTATATCTGTTGCCTGATATCTACTACCCACTCTAATTTCGCCTGCAACGCAAAAAACATAATTTCGTTAATTTCGATTTCGTGTGCATAATATATATATATATATATATATATATGATGGAAAAAGTGCATTTCGATATATATCTTACCTTTGTCAGCAAGCAAAGTGCGCTGAGCAGGATCAAATACTAAGCAGTAAAAAAATGAATCCTCTTTATTCAGATAACTCGTCAAGGATTCGGTTTCGTTCAGTAAAGTAACGCAACATTTGCCCCTAATGTGCGTGGCGGGCATAGTCTCCACTTGTCGCGATAAAAACAACTCCCTGTGTTTCATTTGGTGACGTTGTTTAGAACTTAATTCCGTTACACCTCCAGGAACACCTTCTTCCATCCCTATACACGGTGAAAAAAAAAAAGCGCAATAATATTCGTGCCGTGTATCGTGAGACAGAATATCGTCTTGTATAAAAGTAAAATAAAAAAAAACAATAAGTTCGAATTGTAGAAAAAAAATGTTATCAACAACGAAGAAGTTAAAGAAGCTGAATAATTATATACTGTGTGAACAAAATAATACATTTAATTTTCTAAAGCAAATAATTTTTATAACCTCCGTGAATTGTTACGCTTTTACTTTTTATTAATGCGTTTAATTGATTAAAAAGCCAGTCACATATCACTATAAGGAGGAGATCATTTTCTAAAGAGAGCATGCAAAAGACAAGTATGCGATAACGGTAAGGTCTACATACTGCAACGAGTATAAATATAAAGGCTAAACACGCGAGGAAACGGAATGCTTAAAGTCTCGTACTTGGAACATTCGTAAAGCTTTTTCTTTTATTTTTTTTTTTTTTCATTTTCCATTATCACTTTTGTCGCTTTTAAGTAATTGTCTTGATAATTTCTCTAATGAAATTCGATATCGATTCGGTATCGAAGATGCGGAAGTTGATTTACGCACAAGCGTCTTGCAGCTTTCGACTAACCCAAGACTAACCGTGTTCCGAGTAGCATTATCTTTTTAATTAATCTCTTACACGTCTCTATTTCGCAGGAAGTTAAAGTAATGAGGTAAATGAAATGCGCGGGGGATATACGGCAGAATCAATGAATACTCGAGCACGGTGTATACTGAACCAAAAAGAGAAACACCAGCGAGAGCGGGCAACATAAAGGCAAACGAAGAATAATTGCAAGGCAAAAATAATCTGCAACGGAAAGGAGATTAACTGTCGATAAAAAGTTATGTCATTTAGAGAAGCCTCAGATTACTAAAGTGTCATCGTATACGATGCGGCGGGATTCGTTTGTCTATATGAATGATAAATGAATGACGTGGTGAAGGGAAGGTGTGTGTCGCGGCGACGAGAGCAGATTCTACTTGACTGATAAACCGGGAAGATTAAGAATATTAAAAGCTGACAGGCAGTATCAAGATGCCGGCAAATAAGAGCAGACGCTCGCGGGAGTCTGCTGTGTGTTCTAAATATAAGACGTTGAATCAAATACGAAAAGTCAATAATACCGGGCGAGATATTTATGTGAATGATTGCGAATGAATGATTTGTACGGGCACTTTTTGTATGATAAAAGTCACCGAACCTCTTTGTCAATTAGCTTAAAGAAAGGAGCCCGGTTACGCCCAATTTACTGTCTCTTTGGCCTTACAGTGAAATTTTGCCTTGATTCACGACATTCACCAAGATTACAAAGAATTTTAATGAATCCCGCCGCTAAATCAGTAGCCTTGTATCGTCACTGGCTTCTATATAAGACTAATGAGATAAACAAAAGATGCAAGTTGTATGCCATTTACCGACGAATCTACGTATTATTTAAACGCTTTGCGAGCGAAAACATTCAATTTCGATTTTTTTCCTAATGTGTCAAAAAAATTATAAGATTAATATAATTATATAATTCGATATATAATTGTGCCTATTTTTAATAATTATTCATTTTAATGTCAATTTTATAAGACCGTAAATACAAGATATATATACTACACTATTTGTAAAAGTATTAAAAATACTTGTACTCACATACACGCATAAAACTGGCCGTTTAATATTTCGACACGCCAGAAATATAATAAAATCGTGCGCCCAGCAACTGTATTAGTCAATGAAAAATATATATAAAAATTAAATTTTGTATATATTACAATTAAATATTTCATATAGATAGGACATGTGCGTTTATATACGCATCTTAAAAAATTGTTATTTTTGCATCGCTATATTTCGCATACATGAGGCTCGATTTAGATTCGTCGGTAATGGTCATCCTTTTGATCTTTTGACTACCCTCACTCACCATGGGGCTCTTGGGCCTCCGATAATGGGGCCTTCAGCCAGCCCCCTTTCCCGCCCCCTTTGATCATCACTTTGGGCCCGATACCATCTTTATTAGTCATTTCCTTAGCAGTGTCGGGATTCTCGAGTTTCTGATTCTGTGTACTCGCAGGGGATTCTGACCTCTGCTGCTCCGCGCTTGCCACTGGAATTTTCATTACAAGAAACCCACTCTACGTATCTCTCGGTTTTGTTTTTTGTTTTTGTTTTTTTTCTAAATCTCGTACACAATAGAAACGCTAGGAAGATAGAACGTTACGACTGCAGGGTGCTAGGCGCGAATTAGCATCTTGCGGCCCTTAACGAGAACTCTACCACGCCGTCGTCCACCTTACGTTCCTTCTACACACGCTTTCACATCTCCTATATCGATTCGCACGCCAGCCGACACGTCGTCGTCCGGCTCATCAGGCGCAATCGTGATTGCGCAATTGCGTTACACGTGCGATTCGCGCGATCATGATTATCTCGGGGGGCCCCAATTCCGTCCGCGTTTCTATTTACCATTCATAGCTCCCACGTCGTATTTTCATTCGGGCGACGTGCGAGATCAATACCTCCGCGTTGACCGTTCTTCTCCTCCGTGGGATCAAAATACCACCTCCGGCGTCCGAACCCTCATTTCGAGTTCTGCGGACGTGTGCGTAACACACGACGGAGAGACATATAGATACCCTCTCCCCCCCCCCGCCCGTAATTACCGCCCGGCGTGCGATTTTCGTGCGTGGGCGCTCCGCTCCGAGTGCCGTGTCGGATGTTTTCCTCCTCGCTCGCGGGAAAGCGCGCGCGAGGAACAAAAGGCGGCGGAATCGTCGGCGCCCCGTTTTTGCGGTTTCCGCGATCGACCGGCCGGCCGGCCGGCCGGCGACCGGCGGGGGGGGGTCCGCAGAACGGAGTAAAAATTCATTATAATCGGGCCGGACTTTCGCGCAACCGTCTGATTAGCGCCGTTGATATTTCCTTCCCAACGCGGGTCTCTCTGTTAATATATACCTATACGCGAGCATTGACGCCGCCAGCCGGTGCGGCGCGGGCGTGAGCGCACGAGCCGAAACCGATTTCTCCCATAGAGCCCTTTTCCTTCGACCCCCTTTGCCCCCCCCCACCCCAACACCACCCCCCTTGCCCTTCCGTTCCCCGCTTGCAGTCACACGCGGACACACCCGGGTGTGTGCGATAGCGCCCGTGGTGCGTGTGTATCGACTTCCGCGAAAGACAAAGGAGAAACGAATATTCCTTTTTTTTTATTTTTACGCGAAAATTCGAGGTACCTCGGAGGAGCAAGAAAGAAAGAGAGAAAGAGAGAGAGAGAGAGTACGAGAGAATATACGATGAAAAGGGGAGAGAACCCAATTCGGAGCAAATACCGTCGAACGAACGCATATACATAGCGACGAGGCCGTTACATACATACATACAGATATATATATATATATATATATATATATATATGTATATAGCATATACATACATACATACATTCGGAGACACAGACAAAGAGAGAGAGAAACGTATACATATATACATATACATGGGGCGCGAAAGAAGAGAAGAGGAAGAGAAGGAGAGGAAGAAGGGGGAGAGGGGGGTGGAGGAAAGGGGGGAGTTTGGTGAGGCGAGGGGGACGAACGTACCGGGGGAGAGTGGTAGCAAATGCTTAAAACGAAGATGGCTAGTGGGGCCCACCATTTTCGCCCGGGCACACACGTACACACAAACACACACACATACACACGTGTGTCGGTGTGGGGAAATACACGTAACATATACCCAAGCAACCCCTGCGTCAGCCATCCATTTAGTTGAGGGTGGTGGGTGGACCGGGTGGGTGTAGGGGGGAAAAAGGGGGTGGTGGTGGTGGCGGTAGAAGAGGAGGAGGAGGAGGAGGAGGAGGAGGAGGAGGGCCGGGAGGTAGATGGAGATGGAGGAGGATGAGGAGGTGGAAAAGGGGGACCTAGCGGGTGCACCAGCGTCCCCCCTTCGTCCACCCCCTCCCCCTCATCCCCCTCCCTCCCTCCCCCCCAGGCAGATCGATACAACCCCCGTCTCCCACAACCCGCCCAACCACCCCCGCAACTTTACTTATTATACATTCCCACCCCAAATCCCCGCGTCTCATTATCTTTGTCATTGCGAAGGAAAAATCGAGAAAGCCCCGGGATAACGTGTGTAACTCTATATACACGCGCGCGGCGCGAACGAAACAGAAATGCGTGCGTGCGTATAACGTGCATGCGTGCGCTTGTGTGTGTATATACGTGTGTGTGTATGTGTGTACGTGTGTACGTGTGCGTCGCGTGTCTCCTGGGAGCACAATTTTTTTTTCCTTTTTCTTTTTTTTTTTTTTTTTTCGTTCGGCCCTTGAACCGTATTAATATCGGGGTATCCGAGTAAGCGGGATCGTTTCGCCGAAGATCAGCCACGCGCGAAGCCGTTCGCACCTCGAGCGCGAGATTTCGCGAGAAACGCGTCTCCCCTCGGGGATCGATCGATCGGTCGATCGATCGGATTCTATATAGGGAAGAGGATGATTTTTTTTTTTTTTCGAGAGCCGCGACGGCTGTTTCCTTTCCTAATAGAGAGATACACGTTTCCGTGGCGTCGCGTTACAATACAGATCCTGATGTATACGAATGAAACCCAAGCTCCCTCGACTATGTACAACGTTGTGTTACACGACGACGACGACGACGACGACGACGACGACGATCGCAAAGGTAGCTCGATGCTCCGCGTGACTCTTCCCGGTTCTGTGCGAGTCACGTTACAACGGCACACACGCACGGAGATGCGCGCGGTGTGTCGCACGCGTTTCCCTCCCCCTTCCCCCTGCCCTCCCCCCTCCTCCCGATCTCTCGAATTTTCGTTACCGCCTGTATCGCGAGAGAGAGGTGTCTCTCGTCAATAATGATTGCCAAAGCGGAGAAAATCGATACCCGCCTCGGAAATTGCGGCCAGAATCTTCCGTGCTGGGTGAGATGAAACCCGTGGACTCGCGGATGAAATTTACCTCACCTATATGATAACGGCTATCGATCTCGCCGGTGTAAGAGTCGGCGAGCGTTAAAAAAAAATAAAAAATAAAAAAAAACTATAACTCGTCCCTCTCGTGCTTTGCGATAATTCAACGTCTCGCCCGTGGTGTCGTCGCGTTGTACGCTTTGCGTGTACGTATGTACACGCTCGAAAACGCTGCGCGCGATTTCGCCGGACCGTCGCGAGCGGCGCGGGCGGGTGGCGTCGCGCTCAAGACGCGGACAGTCGTCTCCGAGGGAGATACGCGCGCGGGAGAGCTTCCGCTCTCCTATACTTTTTTTTTCTCACGTCGCACCAACGAAAAGCTTTGGCATTCTCGTGCGTTGTTAGTAATAACGTTAGTATACAATTGATAAATCCGGGATAGTTATAAGAAAACGCTCATCGGAAAATATAGATCTTCTCGAGGAAGCGTGTTTTTAGTTATATCTAGAAGAAGGGGAAGTATTATCTTTCTTGGTAAACGTGAAAAAAAAAGACGTGCGTGAAGCGACGTAAGAGAGAGAGGAAATAAAAAATCGGAATAATTCTATACTAACGTGAGATACTCTCTGACACACGGTCCTCCCACACCTTTACAAATATTTACGATAATATACACGGTAAGTTTGCCGCGCGTGGACGTGTGCTACTTACATTGATGCTTGTCCGCCAGCATAACTAAGGTAGGCGGCAAATCCCTCCGCCTGAAGAAGCACATGACTTTTGCCTCGACATTCCCGTTCGCGGTCTGGAAGAAAAAACGGGAATGATTTAACGAATTTTATATACGAGTTTTATCGCGGCGGCAGCCTAGGTCTGTGTGTGTATATATATATGCATAACATCTGCATTATTAAAGAGAATTTCAATATATTTAGATAGATGAGTGCAGACGAATATAAATAGCCGGTCGATCCTCATTATAATTTCTCGCTAAAATGCAGCAGCGCGCTCAAGTCGGCCGCTCCGCTCATTTTAATACCTTACCTTATTTAATTCTTCTATCCTCCTAATCTGATACGGCGACGAGGTGGTGGTCTCAAAATATACGTAATCTGTAAGAAAAAAAAGGAAACAACAGTCTTATCGCAATCTTATGAAAATAATGAAAAGAGAAAAAACTATAAATTAATATTATTATTATAAGTTATTCCTCAAATTATTGCAAAAACTGTAAACTATTGTGCTCCATCTCAAAAGAACTTGATTATCTACTGATATTGAACTATGATATTGAAGCTTTGATTATCTCGCGCCCAAAATACAATCTTCTCTTGAAAATCTCGGGGATACTTCCGAAATACACAAGCAGTGTGTCCGAGAGGAGAAGGGGATTAGATCTAGGAAGGAACTTTCTTGAGATCTCTGGAAAATACGTAGAGGCAACTGCGGAAGTGGAGATTTCGGCGGGACATTGCACGCCGCGGCCACCACCGTTGCCGGTAATACAAAATCGAAATGAGAGATAGACAGAGAGGAGTAGGGGAGAGCATGAGTGAGTGAGTGAGTGAGTGAGTGAGAGAAAGAGGGAGATGGTAAAGGAAAACCGTTTCTCGTCCGCGAGATCTAGCGCGTGGTATCTCGTGCACGATATATAACGAATGTATCGATATAACGAACAAACGGCGGCTCCTGGCCGGTAATCGCCAGGATCCAATTTTGATCCGCGAGATTTGTCGCGCAAGAAATTAACGTGACCTGAACATGAGAGAGAGAGAGAGAGAGAGAAAGGAAGGACGATTGCGCGGGGGAGGAAAGTGATGAAGGGCAGGGGGGACAGAGAGACAGAGAGAAAGAGAGAGACAGAAGAATGGACGACTCGGATGGGCAAGGAGCAGGAGGGGGGAGGGGGGGGAGGGAGGAAAAGCCAGAGCGTAGGTATAGAACGTTACCAAAGGGGGGAAGAGCGGAAAAGGGGGGAGCGAGGGGTGGCGGAGTACGAGGGAGATCCAGATGAAGAGTGGAAAGAAGAGAGGGCGCGCGGGGAGCGGGGGCGAGCGGTAAAAGCGGGAGGGGAAGGGGGAAGAACGCGCCGCGCGCGGAGGGTATAGGGGACGCCATTGCGATGCCATTTGCAAACATTAATTTCTCGGAGTTAATTAAAGCCGCTATCTCTCTTTCTCCCCTTGTCTCTCTCTCTCTCCCTCCCTCTTTCTCGAATTACACGAGAATGACGACGACGACGACGACGACGACGACGACGACGACGACGACGACGTCGACGTCGTTATCGCCGTCGTCGGGATAACACGGCCGCGGGGGAATGCATGCGGTTTATACTTTACCTCCCACTCGGTACATGTTTGCTGTCATATTATTGGCGTCCTGCGTGGAGCCAAGAGCGAAATTGGCGTTCTCGTGGTTACCGTGGCCCTCGTGGTATTCGGCCGGCATCGGCATCAAGACTTCGTCGTCCTCCGCAACGTGTGTTACAATCCGGCGGTCGCCGCCGCCGCCGATCGCGCGGCACTCGCACCTCTCTCTCTCTCCCTCTATCTAATTATCACCGTCTCTTCGTTGCTCACGCTGTCTCTCTCTCTCTCCACTACTCCGGTAGATCCCTCGCGGAATCACTCCGTCTCTTTCTCTCTCTTCCTCGCTGGCTCGCGTCTCTCTCGTCAGCTGAATGGTACGGTCAACACCTCACACAGCGTAGTCACTCCATCGTGTTTGTTTGTCCACCGTCAACCCACTACTGCTAAAACTTTCGCGTTCCCGTCTGCCGCCAGTGCGTCCTCTGCCCGTCTGCCTCTCTGTCTCCCTCGGGAAGGAGGGGGGTTTTCTCTCTTTCTATTGCCCTATCTCCGTCCTCTGCTCACGCCGCTTTGTGTCTCTCTCTCTCTCTCTCTCTTTTTCCTCCCTCCCTCCCTCCCGCCTGCGGGGGTTTCGCTACCTGTGTATCTCTCTTTCTTTCTCGCTCTCTGTCTGTCTCCTACTCTCCTTCGGAAGGCCGGAATCCGAATTATTACGTGCGTGCTTGCGCCGTTAAACTGTTATTCACACACCACTCAGATTTATGAAACGTTCGGCGGCTCGCCGTCTGTTCCGTCTTGCAATAACACGCTATCCGAACGAACGAACGAACGAACGGCGTGCGTGCGTGCGTGCGTGCGTGAACGCGTAGAGAGTAATACGTGCGTGCGAGCGTCGTTGTATGCGTACGTGTATGCGTATGAAAACGCACGCACAGCACGCACAGCAGCCGGGAAGGGCGGGAAAATCCGCTGTACCGCGCGGCGCCGTACGTTCGGCGGATCCGCGGGGACTCGTCGAGCCCGCACGTGTCCCACCCGCGCCGAGGATCGAGCGATTAGCAACGTCGGCGGCGGCCGCCGCTGCCGTCGCTCGTAGCACCGAGGCCGACACGGCCCGCCATTTTACTGTCGGCGACTCTCTCGCGCCGAGCCGCGCTACGCTGCCGCGAACGAGAAGGCTAGGGGGGCCCGGAAATTACCCCGACCGACCGACCGTTCGTTCGTTCGTCCGCGCGCGCGGAGAGAACACCACCGCACCTCGAGAGTCGGGTTTCGTCCGCGAGAAGAACCACTCACCCGACTCGACTCTCGTGCGCGGCGTCCACAATCTCTCTCTCGCACGGCCGCCGCGTCGTGTGTTGCACTTCCACAGGGCTGACTCGCGCCACACAGTCCGGCCGCCAGTGTCGCGCGCCTGTGCGAGAAGCCAACGCACTCCGGTCGCGGAGTAACGGAGAAATATGATGACCAATGACGCCGGGCCACGCGAGCGCCACTGCTGGCAGGACTGGCGCACTACTTGGGTGGCGTACTTGGAACGAGAGCCCGTTTCTATAGAGACTCTCTAAACCCGGGTGAGATCTTGAAACGGCTGCTCGCGATTGGTCCGCCACTTTTTTCAATCTGCGCCAATTTTCGAATTGTATTTTCGTTATAAATATATTGACACTTTGAAGATGATTTTATTAAGATTTATAATTCCTCTTAATACTATCGAATAATATGATTCCTTTGTTAACAGCTCTCGTATATGTGTGAAAAATGCGTGAAAGAAACATTTTTTTCGTACAGATGGAAAATATAAATCTATTTATATATAAATATCTGTGTAATTTCTGTATAAATGCATAATTAAATTTGATACAAATGATAGTAAAAGGTTTCCATGTAAATCATAATTTCATTATAATAAAACTAATTATCTTACTAATTTACACATATTCTAATATATTAGTTTAAATAATTTAATTTAATTATATGTTGAATTTACTTAAACAAGCGATTAGTTACTGTTTATCAACTTATTGGTCAACCAATCGGAAGATCTTGTATTGAATCAATCAGGTGTCGCTCGATATTTTCATGTTTAAATGTAATGAAAAACTAATTGTAAATCCTCCTCTTATTACTTTTTACTTGTTTGTATAATTATAATAAATTTTAATATTAAAAGAAAAAATTTGCCAATGCCTTTTTTTGTATGCATTTGTTATAAGAAAATCTAATAATCACCCTGCGTTTAAAGTTAAACACAACGATTCTGAACGTTGCGATATGCCACGTCGCTTGATTTCGCTTTTATAAATATAAATATACATTTATTACACTGCAGAAGATAAATGACGGAGTCAATTGTTGGAATTTTCGAATAATTGTTGCACAATCGTAAATAATTGAACAATTTCTATTGAAACATCGAACAGTACAGAGAATAATTATTGTTAGAGAATATTTTTTAGGTTCCCGATTGGTAATTAGAGGAGCTCGTGATAAATGAAATAATGTTTTAGTATATGAAATATTTATATTTACGAAATTAGTCTTTTTCTATACAATTGCTAATTGCGCAGTCACATACTTCTCCATTTTGTCGGAATCGCTAAAGGGGAATCGCGTACGCGTTGAACAATTAGAATTACTCAATTATTTGTAGAACCTGTGCGAGCTTGCCTTGCTTCCTCACGTGAAAATGTTTCTCGATGCGCCTGACTAAATAATAAATAGAGCAACGAATAAATGTCGATTTGATGAAAATACACGTAACACAAAGATATATTTATTATATACACAATATATAGTGCCTCCTTTTTATAATAATACACATTCGCAAGAATTCGTTCATAATTTAATTTCATGGAATTTCTCGTTAATTATCTCTGTAAGGCACACCCCACCGGTCGTTACCAAAGTAATTTTGTGTCCTTTTCTCCCTCTCTCTCTCTCTCTCTCTCTCTTTCTCGCTCTCGTATTTTGCGTTATATATAATATCATATAAATAACTGTATACCATTGTGGATATATTCTATTTAGAGCCTAAATTTATTATGCATTTCTATCTTTAAGAATAATTAATACGCTAGAGATATAGAGGCAATAATCTGTTCTGTACATAATCCTATGTCTTTCTTATCGATTCCTTTAAGATAAATGTACCATTTTTTTTTCATTAATGATAATAATGACAAGTAACGTTATAAGAATAACGGGAAAATGCATAAATGAGATGCACAGGATGAGACCTGCTCGTGCACAGGCTTACGACGCGCGTGCTCACCCGCGTCCTCGTCCGCGATATACAAAATACGAATAGCAATGTCGAAAATAAAAACGTACGAATGACACTCGTTCGACTGCCGACACATTCCCGCGTCGACTACATATACAGTGAGTTTACGATCGTTTTAAATAATTTTAAAAAATCGCGCACCGATTCTTTTTTTTTCTCTCTCTTTTCTTTTCTTACTTTACGCGGCTTTACTCGCAGGTCGCGTAACGATAAAACACGTGTAATACACACACAGTTGCATTTTTTTTTATCCATAACGTTTTTGTATATTACCACTCACGATTTTTTTCCTTTTTTCTTTTTGAATCTTGCGTAATATTAATATAAAATACCTATGCCGCCATTGACAAATTTATGCATTTGTATGTACAAGTATAGCTCTCCCAAAATCCAATCTACCTGGCTTCATCCTGTACCTGTGTCTCTCTCTCTCTCGCTCGCTCTCTCTCTCTCTCTCTCTCTCTTCTCTTTCTCTACTTGCTAAGATACTATTGTTTTATGAATAAAAAAATACTAATATATATCGCATTGTCGTTGCACGGGCAGTGTTTGCGTAGTATCTTGTCCACTCGTAAGGCACCAACTCTATTGGGATCCTGAGATTCAACCCGCATGCTTCGACAGATTCAGAGGCGTATCTGTAAAACGGGAAATAAGTGTCACCAGCACATCTTCGAATAAATGTCGATCCTTATATTATTTACTTTTGTGTCCCGCGATTATATTATTATAAACATAAACGAATATATATACATATATATATACCTGAAGGAGGTGTGAGAGTTTGTTCCCTGTAGTCTTTGTAATGTGGGGACAATGGATGAGAATGCGGCGATGCGTACAACTGCATAGGAGGCGAATAGTGGACGGGAGATGGATAATGAGGCGCCATCCATAAAGGCGCCGCCCTGTACGGTCCAGGCAACATCGGTATCCCGTAGAGCGGATGGTGTACGGACGTATTGCTGGATCCGATGTAGGGATCGATTCGTACCCTCGGGTAGGCGTTGGTCGATGAGTATTTCACAGGCTGCCGGTCGTCCGGCTTCAGCAGTGTCCTCAGGAAACCCGGCTCGGGACTCGGCTTGTCCTCCCCCAGGATACTCGTTATACTGTACGACGACACTTGCTTCGAGGAGGGAGTCGGCGGCGCGCTCGTCGTGCAAACCGGCTGCGGCGTGGCCCGTCTCTTGGACGCCTGATCCTCCAGCGAGACTCTCTCGAGCTCTCGCAGTATGCGCTTGCGAGGTGACACGACGTTAGGATCCAGCAGGCGCGCCAGCTTATCGATGATCAGGCTCAGCACTTTGCCCGACGACGACGACGACGACGGCGACGACGACGTGCCATTCAATTTCCGCGACGTTCTCGCCGGATAGGCCGTCGATTCCGGAACTGGGACCACGGTCGTGGAATCCAACGGGCGTCTGCGTTTCCTCGCTATCAGGCGAAGATGCGCGCACAGGCGAGTCCTCGGGTTTCGACGATAATAAAAATTGAACTCCGTGGTTATCCTGCGTCGGGGATGGGTCTGCTTCCAGCAGTGATCTCTCTGCCAAGGACTGGATTGGACCGACGAATTGTCATCGGAAACTGAGAACAGAATGCAGAGGCACGTGTTACGTACGAATTAGCTTGATTGCACTGCGCCTACCTTTTTTTCTACACTACAACATTAATGTAAACATTGGAGCAAAAGGTTCAAGAAAACAATATTTACAAGTCTCTTCTCAGAGGCATAATAAGCGTATACGCAAAAGAAATAGTAAAATATAAAAAGAGCTCTGCTAACGTATAATAAAATATAAAGTAATAAGATATAAAAGGAACTCTAATATCTCATATCGATGCTTCCTTTGACCCACCACTGAGGGAAGTGGAGCTCTCCTGTCGATTCGGGATGGTGCTGGCGGGTGGCCAGAAGGTTTTCTTCGGCACGGGAAACCACGTAGTCTTCTCACCGTCCCTGCGATGAGACAATTCCAGGATGAACTTTCCATCCTTGAAGAACTTCAGGCGACCACCAGGGGTTGGCAGCAGAGCGCCGTCGATACGTTGCGCCTCCGTGTGATGAGCTGGCTGGGGACTTGAATTTTTACCGTTTGCCTTGGCGAGGGTCGGGTGCAATGTAGGTGGATCACGCGAGCACATCTCTGTCGTGCCCCTCACGTGACCTGCGTGAGCATGGCATTCTGCTGACTTTTCGCGCATGCTGATACTTTACCGGTATCCATTTTCCTCCGCTGGACCTCTCATACTTGGACTTATCAACGTGAGACACCAACTAGGGATAGGAGAACCTGTTGATTCTCTCTCTCAGAGATTTAAACCTGAAACATCCAGGTGTTCAAGAGTCGGTGACGAGGGACACATCCTCGTCACTCCTGCCCGAAATCTCCTTCTCTCTCGATCCTCCCGAGGAAAACGAGGACCCTTACAGTTTACAAACGTCTGAGGCACGTGGACGACAGGCGGTCAAAACACATGCCACTCTCCGGGTGGGGGTGGAGGGGTAGGGGGGAGGGCGAGACGTCAGAAATTGTGGAGCTGCACAGAAGTCATGACTCGCGGGCGATCATGATGGCTGACAGACACACACGCACGCAGGTTCGGCTCGGCACGCGAGAAACACCCGTTTCGCCTGACGTTTATTCCCCAACGAGGCACGCGGGAGGCGTGAGCGCGTGACCGTACTCCGGTGCAATCATCCGTCGTTGGCACGGTCGCGGTGTTGTCATCGTACCAGCGGACCAGTCACTGGTGCGCGGGCAGCGGCGTCGAATCCTCCAGACGGAGGGGCGACATATTTCATTTTCTTTTTTTCTCTCTCTCTATCTCTCTCTCTCCTTCCACTCGGGCGACGTACGTGTACGTACAACGTGTGCGCGTGCGACGACGCCGGGTCACCACGACTCCGGGCGACGACGAGACTCCGCGACGCAGGCCGCGCGTCGGGTGGCGCGTATACACGGTATATATCAGTTCGACCGCGGCGGCGGCTCGCGCTCGCGAGGCAGGGCAGGGCGCGCGCGGAGAAATCGCGCGGTGTGCACGAGCGTGTTGGCGGTCGCCAACAGACACCCACCCACCCACGCACGCAAGGCACGCACTACCGCCTTCCGCCTCTGGGCTACTCCGCCGCCGGAGCGGCGCGGCGCATCCTGGTACTCGTCCTCCTGGCGAAGCTTACGGGCGACGGGGACGGGCGCAGCCCCGTGGTGCTCCTCCCGCGGTCCGCGTGCCCGAGACCGCCCGCGAGGCAGCAGCCCGCAGCGGGACGGTGGTGGTACGTCGACGGGCGGCAGCAGCAGCAGCAGCAGCAGCAACAGCAGTCCGCGGCGGTGGAAAACACCGCGCGGCCGCGACACATGTGTTTCACTACACCCCGCGAAGCGCAGTCCGCGCGTCCGTCGCCGGCACGGGTGTCCCCCACGGGTCTATCCACGAGCACACGAGTCGCAGAAACACTCGCCAGCCGTGCCTCCTAGCCGTCCGTCCGTCCGTTTCGCTCGCGCGGATCCTCTCGGCCCCGTGTGTCGCTCGCAGAGGGGGAGGGTGGCGGTTGGGGGGTGGGGGGAGGAGGGGGAGAAAAAAAGAGCGTGTGCAAGTGCTCCGATCGCCTCCTTGAGTCGACGGTGTCGACCCTTCTCGTCGACAACACTAGTCGTGGCGGTGGCGGTTCGCGTCCCGCGCGTTCCTCGCGTCCATGCCCCCCCCCCCTCTCCCTCTCCTCAAGATCCTCTCTTTCGCGAGCGCCTCGACCACGCGCGATCCACCGGAGGGATCGAAGGTTCGCTTCGTTTTCCCCCTCGTGAAATCGCCGCAGCGTCTCCCTCGCGTAAAAATCGCGTCCGCGAGCTCTTTCCGTCTCTCTCTCTCTCTCTCGCGCGCTCTCTCCCTCTCCCACCTTGCCCCGTACTTATACGCTCGCGTTTTGCCTCGTTTACGTGAAATCGCGGAATGTTCCGCTCGTTCCGCTCGTCCAAGCTCCTGCCTCGCGAATGAGAACGCCCGCGAAATTCGTATTCGGCGCGGCTCGACGCGCCGCGCGTCTCCTTCGTTTTTTCTTCATTGTCGCACTATTCTGTTTATTATGGATATATATATATATTTTTGCGCAATTTATTTTTTCGCAATCCCCGTTTGTAGAGAGACGCTCGCTTTTTCAGTAGGAAACGTCAATTCGTCCCTGCAGACGACATTCGGAGCAGATTGGACAAGCATCTTTACGACGTCACCATTCAGTTAAACGATACTGACAACACTATCATTGATAATTTTACTTCACCGGACCTTTCCTCTCGCACGGTCGGAATCGTAAATCGATCGCTCTCGTAAAATCGAATAAAAAAAAAGGAAACATTTGATAAATACTTTCATTTTGGCGTACACAAAACGCGTGTGATAATTAAATATTTATTATGCTAATTAGTCTTTTAAAGGAACTACGTTATCTCGTAATGATTATATGATGTCTCTTTACACTCTTGATATAAATGTGATTTATGTGTCAGATATGCGCTTTTAAAATAATTTATGAATCTATTCATCGAGATATCTCTTGTGCTGCTTCAAGATCATGTCACAGATGTTGACATGGAGTTGGACAAACAAAATTTACGACTTATATTTACTTCCGCGTGCGTTCCACGACAGGCGGTGATTCAGAAAAATTTCAAAAATTATGCAAGA